GGGGGGGGCTACGGGAGGGTTTGGGTTATGAGGGACCTGGAAGCACACAAAACACTCGTCGTCTGAAAACAGAAACATCGCAAATGCCAAGATGTAATGATTGAAGCAAAACGCAAACCAATATAGCATGGATAATAGCAAAAATCYGACACATCGTGTCGAAGCCCCGCCAGTCTGTGGAAAAAAGTACCAACCCGAAAATGTCGACGAAAAAGCACACTAAAATACACTGGAAAGCTACAATCTCCGAAGTAGCAAACAAGAGACAAGTGCCTACTGGAAAGTACACTATAATACAACATCACGAAACACTACGTCTGCGTAGAAAAGTACCCACTGGAAAGTTGACTATAATACAACCTCACGAGACACTACGTCTGGCATGGATAACAAAAAACTAAAGTACACTGAGAAAGTCACGAAAATGCAAGTCCGTAATCCGTCAACGATCGTCGTGCGCACGCGGATCTCGCTGGGACCGATGAGAAACTCCTCCGTGGGACCGACCTCTGCCACCTCCTCGATCTCTCTCACACTGGCCGCCACGTCCGCCAGCGGGAGGCTCGGGAGCGACGGGAAGCTCGTCGGGATCGTCGTCCATAATGACTCTCCTACCTCTCACCGTCCTGATGGCTGTTGCTGCTAGGTCATCACGTCGGCGTGACTCGCGTGCCATAGGTAGACCGTCAGTCCCTGAAGTCTCCCCCTCCTGGCGTCGATCTAAGGGTACGTGTCGGGCCTGCCTCAGTCGTGTGACAACATCAGGCTCCTCCAAAATAATTGACGCCTCTCTCAAACTGTATGCCCGTGGCGGTTCCACTGCGCTCGTCGTGGCACCGCCTGCGCCCTCACGTCTGCCGTCACCGTCGCCACCACTGCCACCGCCGCCACCCCCTCTACCGCCAAACCCTGCAGCTACAACATCTCGACGTCTCGCGCTCGTGGAAACCCCTCTCAAACCAGGCTGTCGACCGGCACTCGCCGTCGTCACCCGTCTCGTCTCGCTCCATGGTCGATCTGTGCGACCGAACAACATGGTGTCCAGCAACTCCCGCGCACGCTGGGTAGTGTCTCTTCGTCTACAAGGAACCGACCTCGAGGTGAGGCTGCTGCCCTCCCTCAGATAACGCTCAAGGGTGACGAAGGGCCTGCGGCGCCTCCAAATGGCGTTGCGACCGAACCTCCAGAAGGTAAGTCCCCTGCGGCCCTGCCCGATGCCGCTGCGATAGAACCTCCAGAAGGTAAGCCCCCTGCAGCCCCGCCAGATGGCGCTGCGATGGAACACCCAGAAGGTAAGCTGGGGCTGGCTGGCCCCCAAGATAAGTCCTGCACGTAAGGCAGTTTCCCCTCCTCCAGGACTGACCTCAAAACGCGCTGGTCGATCTCCGTCAAATCCCTCCTGCCGTGGTCCTCCAACTCCTCAGCGGTCATAAAACCAAAAGGGAGGCTGCCTCGAGGCGTAGCCACATGCCTAATCTCCGGCCTCGTCCGTGACGGCGCAAAAGTAGGGACCGGGGGTATGCACGCGCCCCTGCCTACACGTCGCTCCTCGACCGGGCCACCGCCATGTGCAGGACGCCTATAACCCTCCAAAAACGGTGCCTGATGTGGCACCACTGGCCCCACAGCAGTGCGAACCACCAAAGTTTGTGGCATCTCCTGTCTGTCCGCGTCACGCTCTTCCACCTGTGCAGGGTCTCCCCCGCCAGACGTGGACATCGGATTGGCCGCGGACGGCACCCCCGACCCGCCAACACCAACAGCCCCCGCTACGGCCCCGTCCCCCCCGGTGGTCGGCGCTATCCCCTCCTCCGCCTGTGCCGATGGGCGAATATCATCAACGCCCACTGACTGCCCCGTCTGTATGTCCTCCAGCCCCGGGGACATATGCACGGGGGCCTGGACTCACTAGCAAGGTATTCTACCACGCCGTTCAGGATTTCGATCACGTGTGGCATCGAGTGACTCAGTACGGCCGTCGAATAGGTCGGATCTTGACGGCCTGGTAGTTTCCGAGCGGGGACTGTAAAGATGCGCACCTCCCGTACAATGAGATGCGTCGGAAAAAAAAAAACAACGAAGTTGGACTAACTTGGACATGATAGCTCGTGGCTTTGCGTGGGCGGGAAGTCTGGATTTTATAGCCTCTAAAGGGGGGGGGTTGATTTCCAGACTTCGTTTTTTTGTTTTTGGCTCTGAGAAATAGGGCCTCGCCACACCACTATCGAAACACAAATTTTCGATAGTTTCGCATCGCCACACAGCCTATCGAAAAATGCAGCTTCGAAATTTTTCGATAGGTGTCAGAAATGGGAATTCGATACCCCTATCGAACAAAATGTGCACGTCCGCCTGCAATCTCCTTCTCTTCGATAGCCCACATTCCGGACCATCGAAAAACCGCCCACACACACGCTAGACAACAAAACCTGCACACAGATGACAGACAGTCGAAAGCGGACCCGGAACGGAAAACATTCGATTCGACAGTGCTGTGTGGCGAAAGGGGGGGTTTCTATCGAAGTCCGGACTATCGAATTTTTCTGACACCTATCGAAAAAAAACGGACTATCGAATTTTCACATTTCAAGTTCTATGGGGCCCCATAGAACTTGAAATGTGAAATTCGAATATTGTGGTGCATCTGACAGGAACGCTTCCGCGTCTGTCGGATGGCCTGCTAAAGGCATCATGAGATACATCGCGAGGAATGTATCCCAATACCCGTTACTTGTTCATCCTCGTGAATGTGTTCGTGGACACATTTTATTGCCACGGTACATCACTATGAAGACTTATGTGAAGGAGATCGTACCAACCCATTAATTCGGGTGCACAGCTGTTCTTCATAGTTTTATGTGCTATTTCAATTCATTTTAAATTAGAAAAAGATCCATTCATGCAAATAAAACATCACTTCGTGTTTTCCAAAAAACCATAAAACTGTGTCACAAGTCGTAGAATACTTCGCGAGTGGGTAGGCCCCAGCAACGTAAAAGCATAAATTAAAAATACAAATCATATCATTGGAGTGGGCGGCAAAACGACGACATGGGCCGTCCGTCTCTTCTGCACGGGATCAACGGCAGCAAACAAAGTGAAAAAAATGCCACACTTGATTGAAACGGCGGTCGCGCCGTTGTAAAATGTAAAACTTCGCAGGTGGATCCCCTGATCAGTTTA